GAACACAGGCTCCTCTCTGCTGTCTTGAAGGGTGACTATGGAGGATGAGGTTAACCTTCAAAATCATTTCACATTTTAGTTTTTAAACCCCCACCCCCTGCTACCAGAAAACTACTAGAGCTCATCAATGAATTTGGTAAAGTTGTAGGTTACAAAATTAATACACAGAAATCTGTTGCATTTCTATACACTAACAGTGAAAGATCAGATAAAGAAATTCAAGAAACGATTCCGCTTACCACTGAATCAAAAAGAATAAAATACCTAGGGATAAATCTACTTAAGGAGACAAAAGACCTGCACTTTGAAAACTATAAGACCCTGATGAAAGAAATTGAAGAAGACACAAACAAATGGAAAGATACATAGTGTTCATGGATTGGAAAAATCAATATTATCAAAATGACTATACTATGCAAGGCAACCTACAGATTCAACCTACAGAACTGGAACAAAAAACATTAAAACTTGTATGGAGACACAAAAGATCCCAAAGAGCCAAAGCAATCTTGAGAAAGAGAAATGGAACTAGAAGAATCAGGCTTCCTGACTTCAGAATACACTGCAAAGCTACAATCATCAAAACAGTGTGGTACTGCCACAAAAATAGAAATAGAGACCAACAGAACAAGATAGAAGGCCCAGAAATAACCCCATGCACCTATGGTTGATTAATCTCTGACAATGTAGGCAAGACTACATAATGTTGGGAAGACACTCTCTTCATCAAATGGTGTTGGGAAAACAGGACAAACACATAGGAAAAAAATAAAACTAGATCTTTCTTTAACATCATACACAAAAATAAGCTTAAAAATGGATTAAAGACCTATATGTGAGACTGGACACTGTAAAACTCCTGGCGGAAAACATAGGCGGAACACTCTCTGACATAAATTCAGCAATATCCTTTCTGACCCATCTCCCAGAATAATGGAAATAAAAACAAACAAATGAGACCTACTTAAACTCAAAAGCTTTTGCACAGCAAAGGATATACCTGACTCACTGCATCTGGCTTACGGCCGGCATCTTCACACTGGTCTCTCCCACACTGTGCACTGAGCCAGCCCTATAAACAGATCTGAGCATGTCTCCACCAATGTAAAAACATTAACTGGCCTTTCAGTGGCCACAGGGTGAGGGCCACACAGCTTGGCAGAGTCTGTAAAAGCCCTTGTCACCTGGTGTCAACCATTCCCTCCAGCTTCCCACAAACCATCCATGCCATCCCATGCACAAACACATGCTCTGCTCTGCATCTCCACGCAGGGCCTTCTCTGCTTGGATTCGTTCTCTTCTCCAATACTGATCTATTGCATAAGACAGCCTGAACTTCACCGCCTCCAGAAAATTTTGCCAATGCTCCAAAAATCATAGCACTGCATTTTGGTGGGTTCCTTTGTCAATTTATAGATTTCTTAAAAAAAAAAAGGTACTGTTCTTTAAAAAAAAATGCCAATGACATTTTTCACAGAACTAGAACAAATAATCTTAAAACTTGTATGGAATGCAAAAGACAATGAACAGCCAAAACAATCTTGAGAGAAAAAGAATGGAGCTGGAAAAATCATGCTCCCTGACTTCAGACCATACAACAAGGATACAGTAATCAAAACAGTATGGTAATGACACAAAACCAGACACCTAGATCAAAGGAACAGAGTAGAGTGCCCAGAAATAAACCACACACTTATGGTCAATTAATCCATGACAAAGGAAGCAAGAATATACAGTGGAGAAAGACAATTCCTTCAATAAGTGGTACTGGGTGGGCAACTACATATAAAAGAATGAAACTAAAACATTATCTAA